ACACAATCACATGCAGACAGTCACACAGTTACAGGCAGACAGTAACATATACAGTCACAGGCAGACACACACACACAGTTGCAGGCACCATCACACAGTCACAGGCAGACAGACACACACTCACCGTTACTGGCAGACAATTACATATTGTCACGACAAGTGACCCAAACACGCAGAATATAACCCAAATAGAAAATATATTACCGGACCTTAGAATGGCCGGGTTTAATGTAGACAAAATAGTCGGAGACTAGCCAAAGTCAAGGAAAAAACAGAGATCAGGATAATGATAAGGAATAGCCGGGTCAGAGAACCAGAAAACAGGATAAACGAGAAAACAAGCCGGGTCAGGATACGAGAATGAAAAATAGTCAATATAACACAAGCCAAGTCAAAATACCTGGATACACAGACAAATAACAGTATAGCACTAGAGGGAACAACCAGTGAACCATAATAGGGCACTGAACAAAAGCAAAAGGTGCTCTATTCCTTAAAATCCATGCCCCCAAAACGTCAGGGAGCATGGAATATTTAGAAATTTAGCAACATTGCCACTTTGACGTCAGCGCGCATAAAAGGGGTGTGTCTGCAGAGTCGGCGTCCGACATGCCGTGCCGTCACCGGAAGGAGTCGGCCCCCGGGGCTTCACCTCGTGGGTACTGTCATACACACACAGTCACAAGCAGATAGTCTCACAAACACACACAGTCACAAGCAGACAGTCACACACACACACTCACAGGCAGACAATCACACACAAACACACACACACGCACAACCACAGTAACATGCAGACAGTCGCAGATAGTCACACATAGTCACAAGCAGACAAAAACACACACACTCCCTGGACTCTGTTAGTTGGGGAAGCAGGCTACTTCTTGCTTTCCCTATATGTGCAGCAGTAAAAGCCCTAGCCATGGTCATTGCACCCCCCTACCTAGTGGCACCCAAGGCGGACCGCCCCCCCTGTGGTCTGCCTCCCCCACCCACCTTTAGTATGCCACTGCCTAGTAGTACATAAAATAAAAGATGTATGCCTAATGAATAAGCTAAGAGCACAAGTGAGGGGCACAGAAAGAAGTTTGACAAAGTCTGGGAGCTTTGGCTGGCCAGTTAGAGAGCAGAGAGAGATAGGGTTTGCAGAACCACTTCCCACTTCATTGGCTGATTGACCGAAAGGAGACCTCTGGTCTCTACCAAAGATGTACCCTACACTTGGTTCATAAGAAACCTCTTCTTTCTCCTTGTTCCTTTTTTTCTCTGTCCTCTTTACTATCGATTAATATTTCTATCAGGATAAAGCATACAATAAGTGGGTGGAGTATGTTATCCAATTCTAATGCCGATTATATTATATTTAGTTATTTTAAGCTACTCGAATCTGGCTCATTATCCAAAGTTCTGATGTTCAAAAATGGTTAAAAAAAAACCAGACAAAATGGCAATCTCTTATCTTCAAGTGCCCCTGGAAAAAGCTAGCTATATATAGCGGCAAACAAAACCTAGTCTTATGCTAGAATCAATAACCCAGTCTATCTCTCACACAGACACAGTGAGAGTAAAACACACTACACACATTACCACTACTGGTCTGCCTCCCGCAGTAACTGCAGTCAAAGTGTCTGGAAGAATCCTATTTGGAAGTATAGATTGTTTTACTACTCATTCCTTTTTTCCTCTATTGGTTACTTATCACTTGATCTGTGAATAAAATCAACATTTACTGGCTTACCATCAATCATACTTTCTTGTCTACCACTTGATTGGACAGAAGTTAAAGCCCATGTGATTGAGCAGACCTTTAATTTTTTATATATTTCATTTCTATTTAATGCTACCTTGTGTATACATATAGGGTATCAAAATAAAGCCCTACTTTGCATTTAAAAGGATTTATATAGTATGTATGGTTGCACTTTAACAGAAATTGGGAAGTTGTGGTAGAATAAAAGCATGACAAAAGTGCCAAAAAGCTATATTAGAATAATGTGTGAATCAAAACAGTGCAACAACCAGGCTTTGGAAATCAAACATGGTGTATGGAGTCAAAGAGAGAGGATATGTACCAGAGTGAACTGTACTCTAAGAAAAGAAGTAATGCTATAAACGGAGTAAGCTCCAACATAAGGTTACAACATTTAAATCTGTTTAGTTTGGAAAAACAGTGCCTGAGAGGGGATATAACATTATATAAATATATTCGGGGCCAGTACAAACCTTTGTCTGGAAATCTATTCATAAACAGGGCTATACAGAGGACACAAGGTCACACATTTAGGCTGGAAGAAAGGAGATTTCATCTAAGGCAAAGAAAAGTTTTTTTTTTACAGTAAGAGCAATAAGGATATGGAATGCTTTCCCTGACGAGGTGGTTTTGTCAGAGTCTATACAGATGTTTAAACTGCAATTGGATAAATACTTGCAAAAACATAACATACAGGGATATCATTTCTAATTAGTGTGGTAATAGCTGATTGATCCAAGGAGACATCTGATTGCTATTTTGGGGTCAAGAAGGATTTTTTTCCTAGTTTGTTGCAAAATTGGAAGCGCATCAGACTAGATTTTTTGCCTTCTTTTGGATCAACAGCAAAAACATATGTGAGGAAGGCTGAACTTGATGGATGCAAGTCTCTTTTCAGCTATGTAACTATGTAATAAGAAAAATCCTTGTCCTATATACCTAGTCATCAGAGTAAGGGCAGAAAGAAAATAGAGGATATGTACAGACATAGGGCTATAGTTAGGTTATAGAACATGTTTTTGAATTAATTAGAGGTGGGAGGGTCTGGGAGGGAGGGTCTGCTGCTGATTGGCTGGAATGTGTCTGCTGACTGTGAGGTACAGGGTCAAAGTTTATGTTTATGTTCGCCATCCGGCGAACGGTTCAGCGAACCGTTCGGGACATCACTAGTGCTAAAAAGTCAATTTGGTGCCTGCACTTCATATCTGAGAGTTAAATAGAACCGTCAAAATACTGTGCTTACATTGCAGTTTTAAACATTCCAATTCTTTAGGTGCTAAAAAAGTCAATTTGGTGCCTGCAGTTCATATCTGAGAGTCAAATAGAACCGTCAAATACTGTGCTTACATTGTAGTTTTAAACATTCCAATTGTTTAGGTGCTACAAAGGCAATTTGGTGCCTGCAGTTCATATCTGAGAGTCAAATAGAACCGTCACATACTGTGCTTACATTGCGGTTTTAAATATTCAAATTCTTTAGGTGCTAAAAAGTCAATTTGGTGCCTGCACTTCATATCTGAGAGTCAAATAAAACCGTCAGATACTGTGCTTACATTGCAGTTTTAAACATTCCAATTCATTAGGTGCTAAAAAGTCAATTTGGTGCCTGCACTTCAAATTTGAGAGTCAAATAGAACTGTTAAATACTGCTGTGACATAGCAGCTTTAAACATTCTAATTCTTTAGGTGCTAAAAAGTCAATTTGGTGCCTGCACTTCATATCTGAGAGTCAAATAGAACACACTCGGATAGTGCCGGCTCTGCATGCTGAGATCTCCTCTGCCGGTCTCACTCCATAAGCGTGCCGCGGGGATTGGGGTGTGCCCATGCACCCGGCACACCCTGTGTGCACACCTATGGCTGTGTGTGTGCTGTGTGTGGGTGCTGTGTGTGTGTGTGCTGTGTGTGTGTGCTGTGTGCTGTGTGTGTGGGTGCTGTGTGCTGTATGTGTGTGTGTGCGGGAGGTGGGGGTACATTACGTAATATCCCCCCTCCTTTCTTACCTTATGTACACACACAGCACCAATACACAGCACACACTAACAGCACTCTCACACTAACAGCACCCTCACACTAACAGCACCCCTACACACACACAGCACCCCTACACACAGCACCCTTACACACACACAGTGCCCTCACACACATTAACAGCACCCTCACTCACACACAGCATCCTTAAACACACACACCACTCTCACAAACAGACACACACCGCACCCCCACACACACAGCCTACAATGTGTGTGTGTATATATAAATATATATACGCGATGTGTGTGTTTGTGCTTTAGGGTGCACACCCTTATGCAAAAGCCTGCGCATGCCTATGGTGGTTACAGCGCATTTTTAAACATTCAAATTCTTTAGGTGCTAAATTGTACATTTGGGGCCGGCACTTCATATCGGAGAGTCAAATAGAACCGTCAAATACTGTGTTTACAGTGCAGTTTTAAAAATTCTAATTTTTTTGCTGCTAAATAGTACATTTGCGGCCTGCGGTGCACTTCATATCTGAGAGTCAAATAGAACCGTCAAAAACTGTGGTTACAGCGCATTTTTAAACAGTCAAATTCTTTAGGTGCTAAAAAGTCAATTTGGTGCATGCACTTCATATCTGAGCACATAGGCGTGCGTCGCCTATTGCATTAGGGTTTGCACCCTTAAGCACAAACACACGCCGCATGTATATGTATGTGTGTATATATATACACTAATCCTCCTTGATCTTTCTGCCGCCTTTGACACTGTTGATCATCAACAGCTTCTTCACATTCTCCGTAACTTTGGTCTACGGGATTCTGCTCTCTCCTGGTGCTCTTCCTACCTCTCCCAGCGCTCCTTCAGTGTTTCTTTCTCTGGCTCTGCCTCTTCTCTCCAACCCCTCCATGTCGGTGTCCCCCAGGGTTCTGTCCTCGGCCCCCTACTGTTCTCTATCTATACTGCCTCCCTTGGTAAACTCATCAGCTCTTTTGGCGTCCAATACCATTTATATGCAGATGACACGCAAATCTACCTGTCCTCCCCTGATCTCTCTCCGCCCACCTTGACTCGTGTTTCTGACTGCCTTTCTGCTATTTCCAACTGGATGGCTGCTCACTTCCTTAAACTCAACCTGTCCAAAACAGAACTTCTAGTTTTTCCTCCCTCAAGTGCTGCTACTCCTGTGTCTGTCGCCATCCAAGTCAACGGCGCTACTATCACCTCTACCTCCCAGGCTCGCTGCCTAGGAGTTCTTTTTGATTCTGATCTCTCTTTTACTCCCCATGTTCAATCGATAGCCAAATCCTGTCGCTTCCAACTCAAGAACATAGCGCGCATCCGCCCATATCTAACGCCGGACGCGGCTAAGGTACTGGTTCATGCTGTTGTTCTCTCTCGCCTTGACTATTGCAATCCCCTTCTCACCGGTCTTACATGTTCCCAGCTTGCACCGCTGCAATCTATAATGAATACGGCTGCAAGGCTTATTTTCCTGTCCGGTCGCACCTCCCACGCCTCCACGCTCTGTCAGTCCCTGCATTGGCTTCCAGTTAGATATAGGGCCCAATTCAAAATTCTGGCGCTTGCTTACAAATCCCTACATAATGCTGCTCCAACATACCTATCCTCCCTCATACACAAGTATGAGGGTGATGTTAGTGTGATGTGTGTGTGAGGGTGCTGTTTGAGTGCTGTGTGTGTGTGAGGGTGTTTGTGTGTGTGTGTGTTTGTTAGGGTCCTGTTAGTGTGCTGTGTGTGTGTTTGTGAGGATGCTGTTTCTGTGCTGTGTGTGAGAGGCTGCTGTGTGTTTCAGGGTGCTGTATGTGTGTGGCTGCTGTATGTGCGAGGGTGCTGTATGTGTGTGGGTGCTGTGTGTGTGTGGGTGCTGTATGTGTGTGAGGGTGCAGTGTGTGTGTTTGTGTGGGGTGCTGTGTGTGTGGGTGCTGTATGTGTGTGTGTGTGTGTGCTGTGTATGTGTGTGAAGGTGCTGGATGTGTGTCGTGTATGTGTGTGTGTGCTGTGTGTGTGGTGTATGTGTGTGAGGGTGCTGTATGTGTGTGGGTGCTGTATGTGTGTGTGTGTGTGTGCTGTATGTGTGTGCTGTGTGTGGGTGCTGTGTGTGTGTGGGTGCTGTATGTGTGTGCTGTGTGTGTGTGGGTGCTGTATGTGTGAAGGTGCTGTGTGTGTGGTGCTGTATGTGTGTGTGTATGTGTGTGCTGTATGTGTGTGTGTGTTCTGTATGTATGTGCTGTATGTGTGAAGGTGCTGTATGTGTGTGATGTGTGTGTGTGGTGTATGTGTGTGTGTGTGCTGTATGAATGTGTGTGCTGTATGTGTGTGAGGGTGCTGTATGTGTGTGTGTGTGTTGTATGTGTGTGTGTGCTGTATGTGTGTGTGCTGTGTGTGGGTGCTGTGTGTGTGTGCTGTGTGTGTGTGTGCTGTATGTGTGTGTGTGTGCGGGAGGTGGGGGTACATTACTTAATATCCCCCCTCCCTTCTTACCTTATGTAGGAAAGGAGGATTCTTGTTCCTGCTGCTTTCCCTGGTGGTCCAGTGGAGAGTGAACTCTAGCCCCTGGGGCTAGCATTCACTCTCGCGAGATCTGAGCGTTGCCACGGCAACGCTCAGATCTCGCAAGAGGAACCCGGCGGAGCTGCTGGTTGAGCTCCCCGGGTCCTCTCCTGCCTCCCTCACTGGCAGGATAGTGCCGGCTCTGCATGAGCCGACAGGGGAGGAAGAGGCGCTCTTCGGCATGTATTATCTTTAGAATTCCCACAGTTATTCAAGTAACCATAACAGATTTAATGAGCCATTCGCAGTTTCACAGTCAGGGGGGCAGTTGGGTGACCAGGACCCAGACACTTTCTGGGCGGCGGTCGGACGACCGGGACCCAGTATGCCTGATGTTGAAGTTAGGAGTTATTCTCCATTACCCATGGTCACCATGGTAGGCGCGGAAAAATAGCATTGAAAGTTGATAAGGCAGACATCCGAATGCATTGTCGCCATCACGGGGACGTGCAATCGGCACGAGGTTATCACAGACAAGCACAGCCGCCTGTCCACGGCCAACGTGGAAAAGCTCACGTTTATTAAAATGAACCAGGCATGAATTCCACCAGACTTGTCTGTACCTTGTGCAGAATAGACATTTACACCAGCCTCACCCAGCCATTGTTATACTCAAGTGCACTAATTCTATTTTTTCTTTTTTTATATGTCCCAATATTTGGGGGGCTACCCCAATTAAAAAAAAAAACATAATAAAAAACAGTGTTGGCTACCTCCTCCTCCTCCACCGCTGTCGCTTCCACCTACACCGCCACGGTGTATACCCAGATATATCAGAGCTGCTGCAGAAAGTGCGGGCCATCTGTGCATGCTTTCGGCGTTCCCACCCTGCTGCTGCTCACCTGTCTGCGCTGCAGCGTAACTTCAGCCTTCCCACTCACCGCCTCATATGCGACGTGCCCACAAGTTGGAACTCCACCTTGCACATGCTGGAGAGACTGTGCGAGCAGCAGCAGGCGATAGCGGAGTTTCAGGTCAGTCACTTTGCGGAACAGCACCACTTCACTACCAATTAGTGGGCCTCCATGCGAGACCTGTGGGACATGTTGCACTGTTTCGAGGACTCAACCAACATGGCCAGTGCCGATGACGCCGTTCTCAGCCTTACTATCCCGCTTCTATGTCTCCTTGAAAAAACACTTTGGGCCATGATGGAAGAGGATGTAGCACAGGAGGAAGAGGAGGAGGAAGAGGGGTCATTTCCACGGTTATCAGGCCAGTCATTCACAAGTGACTCGGAGGGTGGGTTCCTGCACCAGCACAGGCCAGGTACACAATTTTCCAGCATCTCCACACTGTCCCATGGAAGCTTTCAGCTACCCACCCGCGATCCCTGGCCCTGAATGCCAGCATTTCAAAATCCCTGGCCTTTGAAATGCTGTAATTCTGTCTAGTGGAGACGGACAGTTTTAAAAACTTGATGGTATTATTGGACTGCAAGAAATGCACCGCAGGCCGCAAATGTTTCTTTTTTTATATGTCCCAATATTTTGGCGGCTAGAAAAAAGCATCCTTGAGACAAAGCAACTCTATGTACCTTCGTACACCAGAGTGAAAGATGTACCTACAATAACCTGATGGACAGAATTCTTGAAATAAATTAATCTTGGAAAGCCTGCCTGGTAAAAAAATCCGCTAGCAAAATTAACCTTGGTACACCATCATGAAGGGTGTACTTACAAAACCCTAAAGCAGACAAAAAGCCCTAGAGCGGATTGGAACTCTTTCCAGGACAAACAGCCACACAAACAAATACTCATTTATGCACAGTCACATTCACACTATCAAAAGGAAATAAAAGCGTTAGGTAGATTTGAGTATGCACTTTGTGTTAATGAGCATTATGTGTCATACTTAACACAATTCAACTCTCCAAACTTGTAATTCCGCCAAACTCCCTCTTGCTCTGTCCTCTGACCTCAAAATGACTGCTAATGAACAAAAAATAAAAAGGGTATGTGAGAACACAAATGTAATGGTTAATATAGTGGTTTGCACATGAACATTCATTATGAACTGTAATTGAATGATTGCAACTTTGGCTTAATACACTTATATTTTTCCATTGATTTAACAGATTTGTGAGTTTGAAAAACTTAGCTTATTTGCATGTGAAGGGGTGTATCATATATACAAACATCATATATTGGTTTGGGGTATTCCGAGAGTAATAGAAACATAATGGAGTTAAGTGCCTCATCAATAAAATTGTGTTTTAGTGTAGAGATTAATTGCTCATGATGTGATCAAATTGATTTATGAACATTTTATTACTTCTAATTTAACCAAGCCATTAAAATGTTAAATGCAAAAGCTTGATATGGCTTTACAAAAACTCATTGCCAGGTCACCCGTTGGTACAGAGCTGGATTAAGACTGAACAGGGCCCTAAACAGAATGGCAGATTAGAGCTCCCTGCTAGACCCCTGGACTCAGTGAGTGGGAGTATGTGGGGGTGGTTTAATTGTGTGTGCATGATAGTCTGCAGTGGCTGAGTCTTGAGAGTGTTGAAAGCTAAAAGCTGCATGTGGTGGAGGAGTCTGAGTGTGCCTCTCAGTGCTGGTTGAGTATTAGTGGTGTGGTGGCTGAATTTTGTGTGTAGAAGAGTCTGAGTGTGGCTGACTATTGCGTATGTGGTGTCTGAGTATTTGGGGGGGTGTAGACCAGCTAAATTCTAGCATTTCTGATTATATCATTAATATAAACATATATTAATTTAGGTGTATTCTATTAAAAGAATCCCAGCACATAGAGTGCAGGGTACTCACTGTATCACCTGGAGATAAAGGTAGCAGTTGTAATAGTAACTGGTACACAATCCAAATACCTATAGCTAGTGGAATGTGTGAAAAAATAAATAGTAGAGAGAAGGACAATAAAACAATAAAAGAAGACAATAAAACAATGACTCTCAGTATTTACATTTTGACAACTTATCCTAGCTAAATATTATCAGTCATATTTGTTATATCTGACTAGATACTAAAGAGTACCATTGATAAATTACTATATCAAGTACTATTTGGAGGGAGAAAGGATACTAGTATATATATGGAGCTACCAATTTACCATTGAGATACATACTATACAGATCTATAGGACGTATATAATTAGGAGATACTTTACTATATAACACTAGATTTATGATCAGGAGATGTTCCCCTATACCGAGAGCCATACCTAATAAAGCTTATCCTTTTATATTTCGATCTCTACTTGTATCTATCCAATGACCCTTAGCTGTTATATATTTGTAACATAGGAGCATACCTTATTAGGTGACTATTAGAACTTATTTTATTGTTTTATTGTCCTTCTCTCTATTATTTATTTTTTCACCAGATCTAATTTATACCACACATTCCACTAGCTATAGGTATTTGGATTGTGTAACAGTTACTTTTGCAACTACTACATTTATCTCCAGGTGATACAGTAAGTACCCTGCACTGTGCTGGCCTTCTTTGTATCTATTGGTTTGCTCTTTTTTTGTTTAGATTATACTTGGGTCAAGCCCTGAGAGACCCCTGGAGTCTCAGTTTGGTGCTAAGGATAGTCGGACACACCTGGGCGCTATTTCTTAGGTATAGCGACACAGGTGCTACCCACTATCCTCTATTTATTAGTTTGCTCTGTTTAAATAGGTTTTAATACCAACAGCAACTACAAAGTGTATCATGGCCAAATTTTTTATTTGATAAATCCAAGAGAGATATTTGGTGTTCAGATACAGATCGAGTTTTTTCAGACCAAGAACTCAGAAGCAGTTCAGTAAGTGATGATGTTATCTATTCCTTTAATCGTTTGACTAATTTGTTTCAGCAACAAATTAAAACAGGGTGGAAAATTGCATCACTTGAAAACTACCTTGAAAAATAATTAATACCAAGAGGTTTAGGGGACAAAACATTCCAGCTATACGTATTGAAGAGGAGGAATTTATTAAAGAATGGGAAGAGGCAACAGGAAACTGTTCCAAGAGATTTATAGAGATAGGTAAATTTGAATCCAAAATATTGGAAAAAGTTAATAAAGAGGTGGATGATCAGATTAATCAGATTGAGAAATTTAAGAA